TCGTGTAATACAGAATGATGAGACAATATCAGCGGTACCAATATGCAAAGAACAATGGGGATTGATGTATATTTGTCTATATTTGTCTACATCGACATTGCTGTATAAAATGTACGAATCACAACCGCATACCTTACCCTCCCTTCTTGCCTTCTGTATCCCCGTTATACGTTGTGAAATAACAATAAAACTCGAATTAAACAAAAAAAATAAAAACAAATGCCCAAGTCTACTAGATACATTACATGTTTATAGGCTGTCACAGACATATCTCGTCATATACACATTGCATATGTATCGCACAGAGAATTACATGAGCACACATTACACATGCTTTGTCACACTGTCATCATTACCTGCAAGCGTCACTCTTCCCCAATGTCACCCTCTAATGTTACAATGCTTAACCTTGATTCAAAACTTTTTCTAACAGAAAAGTGTGTGTCAGATTACCTGATGTACTCCTTAATTAAGATAATCTCAAGAGATCGTTGACATGAAAGAGGCTGATAAGTTACCCCCTTATGGATCCTATGACTATAATAGTGATCTCCTACCCTGCACTATGCCATTGATGGGTAGGTTGTATCTATTGTCTCCACAAGAAGATTTGGTCATGGTAGAATACAAACAAGACACCCTATCGAAGGGTTTTATTAGATACTCTTCTTTGCTGATGTTCTCATACATCCCTAGGTCTAAATTAGATAAGTGCTTATTTAACCACACTAAAGTACAGTTTGTGAGATTGTCCTTTCTTCATCTAACTTCCAGATGTATACAAAAAGAGAAATAATGCTCTACTGGACTGGCCCTTACCAAAGCAACTTAAAGTTTTCCAGCAATGTATGGGCTTTGCAAACTATTATTAAAGATTCTTTATAAAGTTTTCTACAATAATAGTTTCATCACAAATCTGACTAAGAAAGGCGCTGAAACCCAAACCTGGCCTCCTTTAGTCATACACCACTATAAACAGCTGAAACTAATATTTGTGTCCACCTCCTTACTCTATATATATCAATATATTGATATCAAAGCACACTAACGGGGGGCGGAGCCTATTTGTGTGTATCAGTGAACTTGTTTGTCTTTGAACTTGTGTATTAGAGATGTAGCGGAGGAGCAGGGGTTAATCCAATGGCTCTCTCCGCTGGGAACAAAGATTCAGCACACAAAATCACAGGAACACAGCATAATCCACCTCCCCAAGGACTAGACGACACATAGTCTGGGAGTCAACTGTCAGCTTTATTCACAGGTCTGCTTTTATGCATTTCTCCCATGCAAGGGAGGTAACTTTCATAATTATTACAGTAACCAATTGTAACCCGGTCACCTCCCCTCCCTCTCCTCCCCTTAGATTAGCACTTAAACAGATTAGTGGGAACAGAGTTTTCCCCACTTTCTGGATGTCCCCTAAATACAGGGGGTACAGGGACAAATAAGGGGTCCCCTGGTAGGTCTGATCTGGGTGAGCAACATACTTGAAATTCACCCAGATCGGACCAGGGGTTCGGGAGTTACAGACTGTTAAAGATTTGACCGACCGCAGGGACTCAGTAGCCGAAAACAGTTCCATGAATTCTGGCCCTGCGGTCGGTCTGTTTTAGTGAATCACAAATGCCGAACAGTAAGCCATCCATGTGATTGCTACCATTCGTATGATTCCCCTCGCTTAGGGGAATCTATCTACCGAACGCCGGGGCGTTCGTGTGTTAGATTCGTACTGTCGGAGCCTGCTGGAGGTCTTAGTGGTGCTTGGTTAGTCGAATGCCCGGTTTGAGTTCCAGGCATTTGACAACCAAGTACTGCTGTTCGTGCGTAAGATGGCCGCCGCCACGTGTTCGGTAGGCGAAATGGCGGCCACACATACAGGTACTTAATTCCCTTCGCAACAATGTATCACTCAGTTAATGGGAAACACACGACCACCCCGGGGTGGTCTCCCGTTCGGTAGTTTCGGGCATTCGCATAAAAACAGTACAATAACAGGAAAGTCAATTCGTGTGGTTATTCCCTTGGTGAAATTCACCCATTTACATAGGATAATTAGTCCAAGTGGCAGGGTTTGCCACAAGAGAGTTTGTGTGCTTACTGTATACCTGTATACTGTATCAGTAAAAAGAGAATTGCATGGAATTGAGATAGGAAATTCAAACTTTAGGTCGAAATATTGCAGCTGAATGGGAGAATTTTTCCAACTTTGTCTACTTTGGCCTTATGTTTAAAATTACCATCCAATTAACTGTAATTTTCTCTTTATTGAGTAGACCCTGTAATCTGCACTATGATAAGTAAGCAGAGATTAATTATGTGGGTTGGACAAAGTGGGCAGAGCTTTGCAGCAGTGGATGTGGTACATTTTTATTTTTTTGTAAATATCTTTTTATTAAACCTTTTCGTTTTTGTTGATTTTGCAACATGTCAAAGAGAAACGTGGACTCGCAGGTCCCTCTGGTCATTCACAGAAGCTTATACATCGGAAGGCATGTGATGACATACGTGTCTGGGCGACTCGCAGGTCGCTTTCTTGAGTAAATAGCATGTGTATTGTGGACTCGCAGGTCCGGTGTTACATGGTGGTGCTTAGTACTCTGTTATATTTGATATGTACCATTTCTACGTTGGGTGGTTTTGCATGCCCCACCGTGGTTGTGTTTTGTTTGTCTATTCCCCATGCCTACCCTGCAGCCTCTAGGCAGTAGTGAGACATGTGGCCATCTGGTGTGTAGGGTCCCTTCGGGACGTGTAGCCCCCCAGTAACCTTGTGTCCAGGGTCCTACCTGGCCATATTGTGGGGTGTTGGCCCCCTGCCGTAATATAATTTGGTTCTGCCCAGCGGCATAGGTGGTGTTGGTGGGAATAACCTAAGGGGCATCCTGCGACTCCCTCCAAACTAATGAGCTTTATAGCTCACAAAACAGGCGCTCTTCCACCCCCTTTACTCGCGAGGCCGCAGTCCGCCCCGGGCCCCGCAAGTGGTCGCACCCTAGCGGGTGTTGTGGCCCTCCCCGCACGCCCCCGTGCCGCCCCCCGGGTCCCCTGAACCCGCGCTCCACCCCGCTCCGATAGGGGGCGGGGGTGAGGTATCGCGTTTTGGGCCAGGTGTGGATCGTCCCGCTAGTCTACCAGCATCTCCTCCTGAGGATTATCTGTTCCCTCCCCCCTGGTCAATTGCATAGTCCGAAATGCCTCTGTACCCACCCGTGCCAACCAGGGTGTCCATGTGTCTAAGTATGTCTGCGTTCGGTCTTGGGCTGAATACCAGATCTCCTCTGTGACTCGTAACTCCTCCATTCTAGTAAACCACAGGGAGAGTGTTGGGGTCGTGTCTTTTTTCTAGTACAAAGGTATTAGGTGTTTTGCGACGTTAAGGATTCGGATGGTCAGGGAGCGTTTGTAGCGTGATGTGGGGGTTGTCGTGTGGTGTAGGAGGTACGGGGCGGGCCGGAAGGGTGGGACATTGTCCGTGAACATGGCCACCATGGCAGCTATTTGCTCCCAGAACGGTACTATAAGTGGGCATTCCCACCATATATGAAGAAAGGATCCCACCCCTCTCTTGCACCTCCAGCAGAGGCCATCCGCGTCCAAGTGCATTCTCTGTAAGCGTTCTGGGGTCAGGTACCATTGTGTGAGAACCTTGTAGGCAGTTTCCTGGGTTTTGCTCGCGATTGCGCAGTGGTGCACTAGATCGCAGATCTTGTGCCACTGGGTCTCGGTAAATGTTTCCCCCACGGCAGTCTCCCATTTGGACATGAAGGGGGGTGGGGGGTGTCCCTGTTGTCGTTGTAGCATGGAGTAGAGGTAGGAAATGCATGGGCTCCGGGTCCTGGCACAGCTGTTCGAATGGTGTAAGGTCCCTATATACGTCGGGATGTTGTGGTATAGCAGTGATGTAGTTCTTAATTTGGGTGTATCTGAATTTCGTCAAGAAGGGCTGGGTGGGTGTGCCCATGAGTGACTGTAGGGACACGATTTTCCCATTGGTGGTCATGTCTCGGAGTCTGGGTATGGTTTGAGGGAGGACACAGCGGAGGCTCCCCGGTCTCATCCCCGGTTCAAACTCCGGGTTGTACGCCAGAGGCAGCAGCGGGGATGAGAGGGAGGAGAGGCGTAGTTTCCTCGCCTGTGAGTGCCATATGGTGAGGGTGGCGGTGATGGAGGGCTGTTGGTGGACTAGCCGCCTACCAATCAGTGGGTCCAGCCACAGGAGGGCTGAAAGGGGCCTGCCTGCGTGGTGTGTTTCGATAGCCTTCCAGGGTTTGCTAATCCCCTCTTTTGCCCATTCCATGGCCCGTTGCATGTGACATGCTTGGTAATACAGTTTGAAATCAGGAACTGCCAGGCCTCCTGCTGTTTTGGGGAGTGTGAGTTGTGTGTTCTTGAGTCTGGGTTTAGTACCCTTCCAGATAAATTTGATGAGGAGGGTGCGGAGTGCGGAGAAGAAGGAGGTAGGAAGTTGGAGTGGTAGTGTCTGGAATAGGTAAAGTACCCGTGGGAGGATGTTCATTTTGGCAATGGCCACCCTGCTGAGCCAGGAGAAGTGAGGTGTGGTCCATTCTGTCAGGTTCTTCCGTAATGTTGCCATCAGTGGGGTGAAGTTCATATGGTAAAGTTTGGATAGGTCGGCCGTGAGCTTCACCCCCAGGTATTTTATAGCGGTGTCTTGCCATTGGAAGGGAAAATTTCTTCGGATTTGGTCTGCCCTCTTCCAGGGGAAGCCAATGTTAAGTATAGAGGATTTAGCGTAATTGATCTTAAGGTTGGCGATTTCGCCATATGTCTTTAACTCTGCCATAAGGTTTGGGAGGGAGATTTCTGGGTTCGTTATAAAAAATAGCATATCGTCTGTGTGACGGAACGCTGGCACTCCGACTGAGTACCTCCGCCAATCGATGCTCCTAGCGCTTGCCGAGGACTCCAAGCACTCCAACCGACACCATCAGCACTGCAGACCCCACTTCCAGCGATGCAACTGCGCCGGGGTCTCTGCTGTTTCCACCCACCCTGGACCCAAGGCCAGGATCCAGCTTCCAGTGGGTGAACCTCTCTTTCCCCAGAGAGCAGGAACAGGAACAAATCAAGCTATTGCAAGAGCTTCCTCTGGGGAGTAAGTGATTATAGCAATCCCCAGAGTGTAGGTATCCCTTCCCCCAAACATGAGCCAAGGCTTAATGCTGGAACAAGACTGATTTACTGGCACACAGAACTCACAATTTATGCAACACAAAACTCCTCCTCTGGGCCAGGCTAGATAATTGAGTTTCTACAATACACAAAGCTCAATTATCTGCTGGCCAGAACTAATACAGTTTCATAAACCACACAGGGACCCCAAAATATGCAATAACCCCATAAAAAGTATATCCTTGGAACCGAGGGATCTGGTTGAACCACATATCCAAAATTCACCCAGATCCGTTCAGTACTTTGGAAAATACAGTTTAATGCAGATTCTGCAGAACATATACAGGCTAAATAAAAACAATCACTGTATAATGTGTCCCCTGCTGTATAGTCCAAAACCACCGCACGATGTCTCTGTGCACCAAATACTGGCGAGATGGCACCGTAGAAAAGTCCACACAGTGTCTGTGAGTTAAAATGGCCGCCATCCATTGTTCTCACCATGTGCTTCTGATACAGGAAATGGTGGCCACCCAGTAACTCCACAGTATGTCCCCAGATGGTTCTTAAAGGGCCAGCAGCAGCACAACACAAATCCATTATGCCCAAATCATGTCTTTAAAGGGCAATACAAACCAGGGGCCATAGTCACAGGGCAAGAGGCGGGCAAGCAGTCCTCTCCAGGCACAAGTGGCGAAGGGCACTTCGTCACAGTCTGCATATGCTGCGATTTTGTGGTGGTCTGCCTCCACCGCTACCCCCGAGATATCTGGGTTGTCCCTTACCGCTTGTAGGAAGGGCTCCAAGGTCAGGATAAACAGAAGGGCGACAGAGGGCAGCCCTGCCTGGTTCCATTCCTGACCGGGAATGCGTCTGTATAGACCCCATTTATGCACACCCTGGCCGTGGGGGACGAGTAGAGGGCCTCTATCCACTGGCGCATGTGGGTCCCCAGGCCAACATGCTCCAGTACCGAGAACAGGTAGTCCCACGCCACCCTATCGAAGGCCTTCTCCGCGTCCGTAGAGAGGAGGAGGAGGCCTTTCGAGGAGCGCTGTGCGTGGTGGATCAGGGAGAGGGCCCGGACCGTATTGTCCCGGGCTTCCCTGTGGGGGACGAATCCCACTTGGTGAGGTGAGATTAAGTCTGGTATGTGTGGATTCAACCTTGTAGCTAGTATTTTAGCGAATAGGCGTAGGTCGCAGTTAAGCAACGATATCGGTCGGTAGCCCGTGCACCGTTCGGTATCTCCCCCCTCCTTTGGCAGCAGGACAATATTGGCCGCTAGTGTTTGCTGGGGGATAGTATTGCCCTCTGTTATAGAGTTGAAGGCCGAGATAAATTGGGGGGACAATGTGGCCAGGAAGGTTTTATAGTATTTGAGAGGGAGGCCGTCTGGGCTTTTGCCGGTCTTCGAGGATTTGATGGCTAGGGCCAGTTCCCCCTCCGTAAGGGGCGCCTCCAAAGCCTCCGCTGCGTCCGAGGAGAGTTTAGTTTTAGTGTATTTAGTGAGGTATGCGTTCATGCGGGTCGGTCCCACGTTAGGGTCCGCCCGAGGGGCGTGGGGGGGAAATCGCGTAAAGGTCCGTGTAGAAGCGGGTTACAGCTGTAGCGATTTGATCTGGCATGTGGTGTAGTTGGCCTGCGGCGTCGCGCATGCGTGCAATATATGTCATGGAGGGTTTTTTGTTGATCATTCTGGCCAGCAACCTGCCGCACTTATCCCCTTCTGTGTAGAAGAATGATTTAGTGCGCTGGAGGGCCCTAGTGTACGATTGCCGCAGGGTCCGTGCTAGTTCTTCACGGGCTGTTGTGAGTTCCCCGAGAAGTGTGTCATCTAGTGTTTGCTTGTGGGCCTGTGTTAGGGTCCCTATCTTGGCCGTTAGTTCTCAGATCGTGTGGTCCCGTGCCTTCTTCAGGGCAGAGGAGTGTGAGATGAGAATCCCTCTCATCACACACTTGTGGGCCTCCCATGGTAAGTTCTCGGTGAAGTAGTTTGTCAGGGCTTGTTGTACGTCTTGGGCCACCTGCGGGTTGGATAGGAGGTTTTCGTGGAGCCGCCATGTCGTGGTTTTGGGTTTGTGTAGTGGCGATGTAAGTTGGATTGTGAGTGGTGCGTGGTCGGACCACATGGACCCCCCTATGGCAGAGTCCCGCAGTCTGGGTAGATAGTAGTATGGCAGAAAGAAGTAGTCGATGCATGTGTAACAGTCATTCGGGGTCGAGTAGAAGGTGTAGTCCCTAGCTGTCGGGTGTGTCGCCCTCCAACAATCTGTAAGCCTGTACTGATGGAGAAGTTTACGAATTTTAAGCAGTGTGGGGGGGGGTGTCGATGAGTGGCCCCTGGATGCGTCCATTGTCGGGTGTAGAGCAATGTTGAAGTCCCCACCCAGGACCAGACAGCCCGTCGTGAAGTCGTGGAGGGCCCGGAGTGTGTCCCGGAGGAATCTGTCCTGTCGTGTGTTTGGAGCGTAGATGTTGGCAAAGGTATAGGTTTCCTCCAGGATTTTACCCCTAACGAATACGTATCTGCCCAAGTTATCGGTCATGGTCGAGTCAGCTACAAAGGGTATGGATTTGTGTAGGAGTATTGCTGTCCCCCTAGATTTCCCATCTGGGTTATTGCTGTAGAAGCCTTGGGTGTATATATGGTTGCAGAGTTTCGGAGCAGCGTTGGTTTTAAAGTGGGTTTCTTGGAGGTAGACCACATGGGCTCTAGATTTCTGACTGAGGCGTAGCGCGTGTGACCTCTTTTCGGGGGAGTTTAAGCCCATAGCGTTTAGGGATAAGAAGTTGAGTGGGGCCGGTGCGTATTTGGGTGCGGGTGTAGCCATAGTGTCAAGTCCCGTGGGTGTCGAAGTCGCCCCGGTCAGTGGGGGCCTAGGTAGGTAGAGCCCGGCCCAGGGGCAAGCGGGGCAGAGCGGGGGAGCGGACGACTCCGCACGACGGAGCGCAGAGGGGGCCGCCCTCGCAATGGAGCAGAGGCACCGGTGTCAGGGGGGTAGAGATCCCCCGGCCCGGAGACCGGAGTGGGGGATGACCCCCCCTATACAGTAGACACCGACCTCACGGGGAGCGGAAGGCGCCTTGTCAACCCTCCAACAGCGGCGGCTGTGGATCAAAACAAACACCAACAGGTGTAACTTAAACCTGTGAAAACTGCTGTCGCGCCCCGGGGCGAGTCTCCCAGGGTACGGTCGAGTACCAGCTGTAACTGTAACCTGTTGTGTGTCTGCAGGGACTCGCACCCGGGTCCCGACGTTGTCCTGTCTGAAGGGAAGATGTACTGGCCTACCCAGGGCGTAACCTCCTTTCTACTGTGCGGGTGTTTAGGGTGTTGGTGGACCCCCCCTCCCCCAACCCGTTCCCCCATGCGCATCAGTGTAGCCCCGTAGTGGCGTTTCTCTGTCCCTAAAAGTGGTCTGGAAAGCCTGTGTCCCCCCGAATTGCGTCCCGGTTAACGGACCCCCTTGTGGGTTCCCCCTTCAGTGTGGTTGTGTACGCGGGTGCTCATACCATATTGCGTATAGAACTGTACCCAGGTGTAGCGTGGTCTGGCACCTATCCAGTGTTGCATGAGTTATAGCCAGGCGTGGGACGTGCATGAGCATACGTCGTGTTGTACCCCGTCCCATGGTGCTAGTGGCGTGTGCGGGTGTGTGCGCAGGGTAACATGTGTACCAAGGAGCACTGTGTTAGCCTGTGCTGGCAGATCTACACATATATACACATTCACATATATACACAATATATACACAATGGTTCATGTAGTGCAGTACAGGGGCGGATCCAGAACCAAATCTCGGGAGGGGCACTTAAGTGGGCTAGAGCGGGGTGAAACAGGCTGCAGCGGAGGAATAGGGGACTCTTGTTTAGGGGATAGAGGCTGTACACATATGCGGCCACACACAGTGATATGGAAACACAATAACAGATACAGACACGTACACTGGCACACCCACAGATACAAACCTATACCTACACTGGCACATAGATACACACATACCTACACATGCACACTGGCGAAACCGCACACACGCATCCCTACACATACACAGAATGACACACATACCTTCACATACACAGATACAAGGTAATAGAATATACAGGCATAACTCCAGGTACTGAAGGTGTATTTATTGGAGGGTAGAACACGTTTCAGCCCTTGGGGGCCTTAATCATGTTTAAGTCCCTCTAGGGCTGAAAAGTTGCACTTTTATGTGGTGTTCTACCCTCGAATAAATACACCTTCGGTACCTGGTGTGTTGCCTGTATATTCTATAACCTTGTATTGTTGGACGGATTAGCAGTGTCTATCTAATCCAGAGCACCTTTGAGGCTGTGGACCAGAGTGAAAAGCGGAACCTGAGTGCAGTGGACGACGTAGTCTGTGGTACACACACAGATACACATTAACACTCACAGATTCACACACTGACACTCCGATACACACAGATGTCCACATACCTAAACATACACACTGACACACACAGATGTCCACATACCTAAACATACGCACCGGCACACAGATGCACACATACACACTGACACACACAGATGTCCACATACCTAAACATACGCACTGGCACACAGATGCACACATACACACATACCTAAACATACACACTGACACACACAGATGTACACAGATGTACACATATAAACATACACACACAGATGTCCACATACCTAAACATACACACTGGCACACACAGATGTCCACATACATAAACATACACACTGACACACACAGATGTCCACATACATAAACATACACACTGACACACACAGATGTCCACATATCTAAACATACACACACAGATGTCCACATATCTAAAACATACACACTTGCACATACAGATGTACACATACATAAACATACACACTGGCACACACAGATGTCCACATACACACTGACACACACAGATGTACACATACCTAAACATACACACTGGCACACACAGATGTCCACATACCTAAACATACACACTGGCACACACAGATGTCCACATACATAAACATACACACTGGCACACACAGATGTCCACATACCTAAACATACACACTGACACACACAGATGTCCACATACATAAACATACACACTGACATACACACAAATTGCAGCTTCCATAATGTTAAGCACCCTCCCCTCTCCCC